AAACTCACTTTACTCTGATCCTCCGGTGCCAAAGGAATTTGATGGTATCCCTGCGACGCGTCCATCATGCTCAACAACTCGCAGCCAGCTATGGAGTCAACTAGCTGATCGATCCTAGGCAAGGTGTAGTGATCTTTAGGGCATGCCAGGTTCAAGTCGCGGAAGTCGATGCACATACGCCATTTGTTCAGTGCCTTCCTCACCATAACTGTGTTAGATATCCATTCGGGGAATTGGATCTCCTTGATATGTTTGGCCTTCAACAACTTATCCACCTCGACTTCGATTGCTTTGTCGATTTCAGCGCCGTGGTGCCTGAGTCGCTGCTTCACAGGTTTTCTGAGGGGGTCGACATTGAGTTTGTGCTCCATCACTTCTGGGTCGATTCCAGTTAGCTCTTCAGGCGAGAAGGCGAATATATCCCTGAATTCTTTCAACAATCCCACCAACTGTTCTCGCAATTCGCCTTCTAGTTCTCTCTCGACTTTGGTAGTTTGTTCTCTCGACTCCCCAATTTGAATCTCCATCAATTCTCCGTGAGGCTCGAGGTCACTCCCCCTCGGCCTTTTCTCGCTCGTCATTAGTCTTTTGCCTTCTTTGATTTCGGTACGCTGATTGGTTTTGACCGCGATTTGGTAGCATGTTCTCGACAATTTTTGATCTCCCCGAGCCTCTCCCACTCGATCTCCTACGGGGAACTTCAACTTCATGTGATAGGTTGACACAACTGCTTGAAATGCGTTGAGCGCGGGTCTCCCCAAAATCACGTTGTAAGCCGATTCAACATCAACCACAACAAATCTCACCATTTTGACTTTCCTTAAGTCGCCTTCCCCTAGGACGACAGCGAGCATGGTTTCTCCCAGGGGAGCGACTTCTGAGCCATTGAATCCGAAGAGTGATGTATGTAGGGGCGTAAGTTCAATATCCAGCTCCATCCTTCTGAGGCATTCATAGAAAATTACGTTCACTGAGCTTCCTGTATCGACAAACACCCTTTGCACTTCATATCCTAATATCTGCGCCGTTATCATCAAGGCGTCGTTGTGCGGCCTCTCGACTTCACCAACATCCGCCGGTCCGAAATTCATCACTGGTCCACTCTCCTCGACTTGTTGCACCTCGACTTTCGCATATCGGCCTCGAGCATAGGCCTTTCTTGCCCGATTGGAGTCCCCATCCGTCGACCCTCCGAAAATCATGTTAATAACCCCTCTTTTTGGTGGCAGTTCCTCCTTTTCTGGCGATCTTGCCCTCTTGCGAGGACTCTTACTTCGCTCTCGTCTCCTGCTCGTCCTCTCTCGGTCTTTGTATATAAACTCCTTCAAGTGACCCACCTTTATCAGCCTCTCAATTTCGTCTTTCAAGTGTCGACAGTCGTCGGTGTTGTGCCCATAGTCTTTGTGGAATCGACAGTATAGGTTGCTTTTGGGCTTCAAAGGTCCCTCTTTCCTCGTCCGCAGCCATCTAACCACATCGTCGCGGATTTCCCTCTCCATAACCTCCAGAATTCTCGCATGGGGAGCCGACAAAGGCGTGTATTGAGTTGGTCTCCATCCCCTAGACCTGCCTTCACCCCTATCAGCCCTCGGGGATCCCCTTCTATCTCCTGTCGACTGACCCTTCTTTTCTTTCTTGTCGTCTCGGCTGTCGGTTTGAGACATCTTCACGCTTTGTAAGTAGTCGGCCTCTGCCTCCTCGACATTCATGTATTTGGCACATCTGCCCAGCACATCGTCAAAACTCCTCCCAGGTCGTTTAGCCAAGGAGTTCTTACACAATCCTGGTAGCAGTCCTCTCGTCAATCCTCCCGATTTGATTTCCTCTGTCGCCGTGGTGCATTCGACGCACGCCTTGGTAAACCTTGCTACATATTCTCGCAGCGACTCGCCCTTCTTCTATTGCATGCTAATCAACGAGAGGTAAGACTTCTCTTGCACCCTCACACTTGCAAATTGGTTAAGGAAACTCGAGTTGAACCCGTCAAAATCCCGAATCGACCCCGCTGGAAGTTGATGAAACCAGTCTTGGGCCGACCCTGTCAAAGTCGTCAGGAAGGCGCGACATTGTACTGGGTCGCTGTAACGATGAAGCACGGCCATATTTTCAAAGCTCCTCAAATGTCGAGATGGATCTGTGGTACCGTCATACCATATGTTCAACTCCTGGAAGCCTTTGGGTAAGTCGGCTCTTAGGATCTGCTGTGAGAATGGGTGCTCTTTCGCTCCTCTGCTCTTCCTCCCGTCGACTCGAGCTTGTAAGTCGCGAACCTGTGCCAGCAGTTGTTCTAACGTCTCGTCCCTCGCCTGTGGATTAACGGTTCGTATGGAGGATTCCTCTTCGTCTACCCTTCTGTTCTGCTGCACATTCGACTGGGCCTGCTGCTCGTCGCGTGGCTGCTGCTCGACTCGAGGGGGGTACTCAACGCGGGGCTGGTGCACGACTCGGGGTTGCCGTTCTACCGGCGCTATCTGCTTCATTTGGGCCGCCACGGCTTCAGCAATCATCTTTTGCATCTCGCTCCTCGTCATTGTCAAAGTCTGCTCCTCGACGCGTGGTTGTGTCTGTTCCGGAACTTCCTGCATCTGTTTTCCCTCGCGTCGAGAGACCTCCGTTGGCTCCTTCTCCCCGTCTGGGTTAGGGTTTTGACTTGTTTCTGCCTGAGTCAACACTTGTACCTTCACGCCGGTTGGAGTCACAGGCGTTTCTCCGCCCAACGTCAGTCCGGGTGGTGGGAGTCCTCCGAAAGGCGGCATTCCCATCATCTGCATCACGGGGTGTTTGGTGGTGGAGAGCGGCGGTGGCCTCTTGTCCATCCACGTCCCTCTAAACTCCTCGCTCAAGTTCCTCTGCAAGCCTTCTTTCTCCGCCATCAGCAAACAGATCGGAGCTGGGTGTGAAGCTCTTCCTTCCTTTAAGAACTCCCCACAGACGGCGCCAAATGATGGGTCTACTTCTAGATCTGAAGTAAACCGGTGGTTGTGAGCTCAGATCTGCTTGAACCGCCTTGAAACCGTTGCTAGACCGCAAGAATACCTGCAAAAACTCAACGCCGGAGGTGTTTCCGGCGTAGAGCCTCCGACGCTCAAGTCAGTATCAGAGTGATGAAGAGAGGCTGCGCAACAGCTATGGGGGAGAGTGGGAATGAATGAGAGTTAGGGTTTTAGGGTTACCTCAACTACTTTATATAGGAGTGAATATTTACCTGGAGTACCCAGAATGTCCAAGTCGGTGGACCTAGAAGGTCCAAAATGCCCCGGTCGATTCGTCTCCCCTTATTGCTGAGTCATCACAAGATTCCTTCTTACCCTTTGTGGTATGTGGAACTTCAAGTATGTTGCAAGTGTGATGAGTCGTCATCACATCTTTGTTATTCGAGGTATGCGAGGTCGACTTCGAGAGCCAGGAGGTCGACTCGTGGATATGTGAGGATTTGGAGGCTACGCTTGACTAATCCTTTGTGGCGAGGTCCTCTTGGTTCAGTCGACTGTCGGAAGTCGACTTAGGGTATCGGGATACTTGGGCGCTGTACTCTTGCTGTTACTCTTTCATTGGTGCCGACTAGTGAAAGTCGATGGATTAAAGTCGACTTGCAAGAGTCGACTAGACCAATTTCTGCTTCTTCTTGATTGCTCTTGGCAGAACCGACCCTAGGGAAGTCGATTTGGGCATGTCGACGGAGTCATGTCGACTGCGGGTAGTTTAAGTGGTTCACTGGTTAAGCAAGGAGCTTTCGGATCGGGTTATCCTTATGTGGCTATATCAATAATCAAATACCAAATATAATCAAATAAGTCAAAGTGTACATTTTTATTTGGTATTTGATTTTTTTATTATTAAAATCTTTTTATTATACTTACCTTTTTAAAATAAAACAAATAAATAAATCAATTAAATAAATAAAATATTATAATACCAAAATAGTAATGGCATTTAATGCAGTTAACTTTTCTGTATAGTAAATATAGTAAATAGAATCTCCTTTTATATAAGTATAGATATGATATTATATAATGTTGCTCAAAATAGTAATGCATTTATTGCATTGACTTTTCAACTTACTAAATTTCGTAAATGGTACACCTTATTATATAAGTATAAATTTTTTTAACTAACTGTCATTCTCATGTGAACTCAATCCTATATAATATATAGATACTAGTACAACACATGTGTATTACACTTTAAAAAAAATTCTTAAATTTTACAATTAATGAGAATAATTATTTAAAATATGTTTACTTATCTACAAAAAAATATATATTATAATATATTTTAGAATGACACTGTTAGTTGTTTGACTTACATTTGTAATATTACAGTAATTTTTATAACTTATATCATATAACTACTTGAAATATAAGTATATTAATTGATAAATATTTTTTTTAATTAATATCAAAAAATAATTTTATTATTGTTATAAAGATAAATACAATTTATTTTTTATGTATATACAATATGGATGTTAAATCGAAGCTTATCAAAAATTATTAATTTGATATATTATATATGTAAAAGGAAAGGATCATATGAGAATGGTAGATACTGAAAGAAGTAAGAATAAATTTAGACCATTGGATCTATAATATCAATGGTCAAGATCAAGTCAAATTTTATTAAGTGGCAGTCAACATGTAATGGCAGTCTCGTAAATATGTGATCAAATCATGGTCAAATATATGTATTTGACAATCAATAGGGATAAATTGGACATTACACATCCTATATCAACACTAGTGGGCCCATACACAACCGCGTCACCAATCCACCCACATATCAACACTAGTGGGCCCATACACACCCACCCCATCTCTTTCCCATTTATTTCTCTCTCTCTCTCTCTCTCTCTCTCTCTCTCTCTCACACACACACACACACACACACAACACACACCAGCACACACACGCACACAGTAACACCATCGCCGGCACGCGTCCATATTGGCATTCCCGTCGTCGCCGGACTTCTGCATCAGCATCCCCGCTGTCGCCAGACTTCTACATTAGCATCCATGCCGCCGCCGGACTGCTCATCAGCCGTTCATAGCCACCGAAATTACTCATAAGCTCACAGCCGCCAGAATTCCTCATAAGTTTTTCAGTCGCCTTCGGTCTCGTCTCTGCCCCCTGAGTCCCTGACTGAATTAGCCTCTCCACCGCATAGTCTTCTCCGCGTGGGGCTGCGCTGCGCAAGTTGGAAATTGGTCCAATCGCAGCAGCCTCGTCTTCTCTGCCGACAGACTTCATCAGCAGCCTTCCCGCCGCACCGGACTTTCTCAGCAGCCTTCCCGACCTCGCAGAACATTCACGTCAGCCTTCACGCTGCTGCCTGACTTACCCCACACCACTGGCCCCGTCAATGGCCACCGAGGATACCTCCGCCATTACTGCTTTCCGCCATCCCCATCAAAAGACAACACCAAATATTATGGTCCCTGCCGGAAGTAGCCCCTCAACCACCTCGTCTTCTCCGCGTGCGGTGGCCCGCACAAGCCAGGAATTGATTCAAAATATGATTCGTGGAGTCTCTTTTGTAAATTAAATAAAAATAGGGGACTTGGGCGCAATGTTTGAAAAATATAAAAGTTTGTACGAAAATTTAGTTCGTTGCTTGTCATTCGATTTTGTGCAATCTGATATACATTTACGTGCAATCCGTATAACTATAATGTGCAATCGCAATACATGAAAATACATATAGAATTTTAATAAAAAATATAAATAAATAAAAAAATGGTAGTATTAATCAAATAGTTTGGCATATTCGATTATTTTGTTTATTTAAGAAAAATTAAATTCGCCCTCCAACCGAATAATATTAGTCAATCTATTAGCATAACTACTATAATTTTGGTAATTTTGGTTGTAATTTTGGTAGGTGTAGCGTGTTGTTTAACAAGGTGCAACATGTTGTGTTATAAGGTGCAATATAATATTGTATAAAGTGTAACGTACTGATACATCACAAAATATAGATAAAAAAATAGTATTAATTTTCTTAAAAAAATATAAATAAAAAATAATAATAAAATTGGTAATATTTTTCATATAATTCGTGATGATCAGTTATTTTATTTATTTAAAAAGACTAAATTCGACATTTAGTCAACGAATATTTTTTGATTGATTAGCAAAAATACTGAATTTTGAGTACGTGCATCGTGTCGTTTTATACGGTGCAACATGTTGTGTTATAAAGTGCAACGTATTGATATATAAAATGCGAAATTGAAATTTTGATACGTTAGCATGCTTGTGTTTTTTTGTGTATAGATGATGTGATGAATATTAAAGTATTATGTAGATCTGTTTTTCTAAATTTATATTGCGTAATATTCTTCTGATAAAGGGAAACAGAAAAAGTAAAAGCCTCCCCAAGCCCATACATACATACATATATATAGGGCTTTTACATCTAATGGGCTTTTAAATTATAATAATACACTTGTAATGAATCAAATATGAATGTGTAAGGCCCAGTAATTATGATGGTTGACGGTTTTGATTGATATTTGTCTTGTCAACAATTATTGTGCCTGTCGGGGCAGTTTCCTTATGATATCTAGGTCGGGCTGGTGACGTTGAATTCTGCTTGGCTCGAATGTGGACAATCTTGACTTTTGAGCATCCGGTTGATATTCAAATGATCGGCTCGAAAAACCTACTATTTTATATTCCATATTTATTTAATATATATATCTACGTGTAACATTTTTATTAATTGAGGCCAAATTGGATATCAACAGCTAGTTAACGTACAAACTCAACTCATGACTAGAGAGGTGTCATTGGATACAAAGAACATATTAATATCCTTAATAAAAAAATATAATATTATATTTATCTTATTTTTCTCATTTATTATATTAGCAATTTTCCTAACATATGTCTTAAATTGAAGAAATAATTAATTCTACAATATATATATATATATATATATATATTAGTTAGCCACCCGGCTGTGCACACACAGCCGACCCTAGTCCAGTCTATAATTATAACTAATATTTGGGAAAATTTTAAAATACACATACCCACCTTTTATTGTATTTATAAATTTAGCTTCAAATAACTCAACAACAATGCATAAGGAATTAAACAATGCAATAATATAATAAGATATCTACCAATTTAAAAAAGTGTTAATAGATTTTTTTTTTTTGAATACAATAATCTGAGAAGCTGCGTTCAAAAGTAAAAGATTAATATTTTCTTAACAATGTATCCAAAAAGTACCAAAGGCACCAACCTTCTGCATAATTTCTAGGACAAATTTGACCTCTTCATTGCTAGTGCCAAGATTAGAACAGAAACGAAAATAAAACATAGCCACCAAAATAAAAAAATAAGGAGAAAGGAAAAAAATCAATAAGGAGTAGAAGAAGAAACAAGGAGAAACACTTAATAATAAACACATAACATAGCATGTGGCATCATATTTCTTTACACATATCTAGAGAAGCAACAAAGAATGACAATCACTATTCTTACTACTGCAGCATTACTTAATCAAAAACACTACAATGCAGTATCACACATGCCATGCGAATCAACAGCCAAGTAAATAAGAAATATTGAACAGGAGATGTAAATGTTGAACGCTAAATAAAAACTCTCCTAATCAATAAATATTTTGAGTCAAACATTTAATACATCAGATAAAGCCGAAAACAAGTGCAAATAAAATACAGAGCCGCCTGTTTTTAGCACTTTTTTTAAGACAAAAATGAAATATGGCCATGATTTTTAGAAAGATAAAATATAGCCATTTTGGGGGTTAAAAGTACAATTGTACCCTTATTAAAGTTTTACCTACCAAAGATATAAAAAAAAAAAAAAAAGAA